ATTGGTTTTTTTGGTTTTTTTTTGGTTAAACGGTAAGTGCTTTGTACATTTTTAATCATCTCAATCGTTCGGCCAATACAACGTTTTCAATTGTTGGCATTATAAATAGTTCGTTTCCGCGTTTCCACATTGAATCAYAAACGCGCTATACTAGTGCGATCTATTGTGTGCACATTGCTATTTCCGGTTGTCAATCACGTCGAATAATTGTATGCAATGTGATGTTAGTTGTTATATTCAACTACCRAACCAGTGTAATATGATTGTTAATTTGAACGTCGAGTCCGATCGCTAAGTTTTGCTATTAGATGATCTTCATTATTTTAAATATAAATAATATAGGTAATAAATAATAATAATTTCAATTAGTTCGTGAGAGCACTGAGGAGTACATCGTAYCATGATTTATTTTARGTAATCCRTCGAACTGTAAATATTTTTAATTGGCCACCGAATTCTCGTTCTATCTTGATAATATCATAACTCGTAATAGCCACAAGGATAATATATTATAGCATCTATCAATCAATAATTACACGTTTGTTAAGTATTCGGATAGTAAATATTTATCATATTAACGTCATATATATTATGGGTACTTATCGTATTAAGTGTACGTGTAAAATATATGGAAAATGTATTAAAATATTTAAAAATATCATTGAAATTCGTTACATTGTGTGGTAATATAATGTTAATTGTACCTACGAGAAAAAAAACTTGTGTTTCTGCATGAGCCGATTTATGTAATTACGGTTGAAAACTATTAGTTCTGTACAGTAATGTTACTTTGAACAAAAAACTAATACTTCGTAATATAATATTGTTATATCATTATAACTGTCAATAATTTCACACGGTAATTTCATATGCCGTTTATAATACCTGTAACACGATATGTGAAATGATATTGATTTTATTTTATTTAATACMATTTTTCAATAATATTTAATTTTTATAGATAATATGTTCTTATGAGTACAAAATTATTATGYGTTCAATTTTGTAGACTGTAGTGGGAATTGTTAGTCATCGGTTTCACACCAATAAATATAATGAACTTTTTTTTGTCAATGTATAAAATTAAAAACCCACATAAATATGCAATAACGTTTTTATATATAATTACTCATAATTTAGGGGTGCTTGGAAGGCCCCCCTTAAATAAAAATGAAAACCTCTCAACATTATTGAAAATTTTTCAAAGTCACTACTTCTCATTTCGTAATGAATTACGAAAGATTTAAGCACCTCTAATATTCAATCGATTTATTTTAATTTATCATGTTTTGGTAAAAATATGTATTTATATATCGACCAGGTGATAATAATTMTGTATATGTCGTTAATAGATTCTACGTAATTTCTGTGAAATCTCCAAACACGATAATATTATTATTATATGCAGATACTCGAAGAACGGAAACGTCATAACACATAAACATAATATAAAGTATAATATTATTATATATGGACATTTTTTTCTGCGCGAGAACTAAAAAATACTAAAATTATAGGCTCTCGTATGATTTAAAAAAAGATTAAGACGCTTTTTCTTTGGTATCATAGTGAAATTTTGAACTTACAGTTTCTAAAAATAGACTTGCAGAAACTAAAAAATGTAGTATGTAGGTACTTATAGATGGGCCAACTTCATGAACGTAGAATTAATTTCAGCATATCATTACTTTAACACATTCGGTATATTATTATGATAATCTTTATTTTCTAATTATATATTATTATAATCGAAATAAGAAAAAAAATTAAGAAATACGATTTTGAGTAGCTCTTGAATTATTATAACTAACAATGTAAATTTATCCCAACCGATGTAGACACAAAACACGATTCAATCAATTAAATACACAGTGATCAGTATAGGTACCCTAGGTGCGGTAGGTAACCATCTAATTTGTAATTTGTGATTTCATAACTAACGATAAGCAGCTTAATCGTATCGGAATCGTTAAAAAACCAAATACTATCCACGAAAGTCAAATGTATGTAAATTCGTATGACGCCCACTGTTTGTAAAAATTAAAAAAATTAATTTGCCCTGTATAATGCATAATTATATTATGGCGTTTTTGTAACGCATAGCTACAGCCTGCCCGCCGTTCCTGTATATATAATATTACTATGAATTTAATAAAAAGCCARACGGTAAGAACACTGCAATAGTAATATTCATATATAATATATTATATGGCTTCAGTTTCTTCGAATAATATAATAATTGATTTTTTTTTTATCATTTTTATCATACCATGTAAAACCGTCAAATCTTATACCTAGGTTATGGAATCTCGTCGCCTTTCTATATATATATATAATATATATGTATGTATGACGTCTAGCTATTACGAATCACGATATTATGCATCGACTATAATTTGTACGTATTACCTTTATAGGTATAGATTACTCTACGCGATGATGGGTGATTGTTTTACGTCGACTACCGTTTGTAATAAAATTATGCATACATAAATGCGTATAATCGACCAATGCTAYTACAGTGATTTCGTCATCCAACATGTTTTAGATTGAAAAAAAAATTATCAAAATCCAGCATATCCACAAGGGGTGAGAGTTTTTCCTGTGAAGTCATTTTTGTAAGTAAAATGCTTTGTATTAATCCCTCTCGAATATATATATATATATCAATGTGCGTATAGCTTATATGATGGTATATAATATATTATACTATATATAATACACGCGTGAAATTCTCAGCTTTTATAAAAAACAATAAGTAATAATGTATTGAGCTCATATATTATAATATATTCGCGAATCATGATCGTAATAATAGATACAAAAATTTCAATCAACAGTATCAAAAGTAGAGTGTCATTTTTAAAATATTTTTTCTTAAAAATGACGACGGTCTGCAATGGATATATAGGTTACAGCTTAATTTATTCATCAAACATCAACATTTTTACCAGCCCATAAAAAAATCTAAGTTGTGGAATAATATTGCCATTATTATGCCCACCTCCCTGACCTCCCCCAAAGACGATACCATGACTTGTGTCAGATACAATAATATTATTATAATTCAAATAATATTATCATACATGGATGATAGCCAATAGGTAACTGCTACATGTTTTAGTTCTGAAGTTGACGATTCGGTCGCATACAATATAATAATATAATATCAAGTAGCTTGACGCATATATACCTATTATATACGTATAATTTAACCGAAACAGAATAATAATAATTTTWAATAATTATAGTTTTAACGAAATTACCGATATGATGTAGACATGTAGTGCAAGAAACTCTGCTGTTTTAGTTTTTTTCGTCTACAATAAAGCAAATACGACCTGTACATATTTTCGATTTTTTTTKACTGCCCRATYAGGTCCAACAATRACACGCTTTTTATACGGTGCGCGGTATAAGTATTCGTAGCCAAATGGAGTGGGGTGATATGATAATTTAAAATGCCTTATTGTACTATGTTGATACACACAACATAGATATACCTAATAATCTAGTAAATTATTTAAAAATGTTAACGAATGTAAATTTCGTTTCGTTTTCAAACCCACGGTTATAACAGTCTAGTAGACTGGTAGTCGAACATCTAATTGGTTTATTCATAAACTAATAATAATAATTAATAATAAATAGGTAACAACAACATAATATTATAATTATTATTGTTATTGTTGTTATTATGTACAAACGACTGACGACTAGCAATATAAAGAGACAATCGTCGTCGGCCTTGGCCGGTTCCTTCGGGCGTTCATATTGCGCGCATCTCGATAAATACTAAGTAGGTATAGGTAAAATTTAAATTATTTTTAAATTTGCAGATGATTTTTGGAAAATGTTTCAAAATTGAAATTCGAACGTAACAAATCTAAACCAGGGCGGTTTGGATGTTTTTGATCCGGGGGAGGGGAATATTAATTAGGGATCCGTTAGGTATTTAAATTTCCTAATTTACTAAATTAGGAAAGAAATCCATAGATACGTAGGGGAGCACTATTTGGTTTATAGCATCCTGGACCGGACTGCCAAACCTAGTAGTTTCTGGGTTATTTCTTAATAAACATAATTTACTAAGGATAATAATAGTCCAYGATGATGGGCTTAAAGATGTGGTTAATTTATTGATATGAACATTTTACTAATTAATATTAATATCATGTTGATATTTGTAATCTGTAAAAATGTTTGAGTATAGCAATAGTATTTGATTAAATATTATAWATCTATTTCATATTTTTGTAAAACCATTTTCAACGGTTATTATTCTCTTTAGATCTTATTATAAACATTTTAATATCTGAGAAACAACTCGTTAAGGTTTACTTTAGTTGTACATCACTATTTTCAAAATATTGTCTTCATAACAGTTTTTTGTAAAATGAAAGATTTTCATTTGAAAAACAGAAGTTTATGTATCGCCTTTCACCAGAGTAATATATACATTATATACACGCACACATATATATTGTTGATATGGTATAAAAATCTAAGAGTTTAAACATATGATTGTTAAGTATGCCTTATAATTCCAAAAATAGGAACTTGATTAAACGCATTATTAAAAAAAAATGGACAAAATCAAACTGTATTATACTCACATAATATAATAATAATATACATCAATAATCCATTAACTGATATATGATACATTGTTATAAACTTATAACAACGAKAGTGTTTGCATATTATAAATATTACAAAACTCTGCATGTAACCTAAAATATTTTATTGACCAATGTTGGAAAAGCCCCTCCTAGGCGCTCCTATTTACACACAACTCCTGCAGGTGGCAGCATAGGTACATAAATATATATATATATATGTAGATTATACTGTGTGATAATCGGGTGTAACAACAAAAGCATTGTATACAATACATTAATACATAGTACGTGCTATAATAAGTGTATCTATAGATAATACACTTATATCGTTATTGTGGCACAGTGTCGTGTGGAGGGAACAACCGGGCGCCGCCGGGAGAAAGGGAGAGGATCCTCGGCCAACCTGGTCCGTCCGTTGTCTTCTAGTACTTCCAGACCAGCAGCCGTCCAGTTCGGAGTCACCACATCCACTACGAGCTCGCAGGTAAATACAAAACCAAAAATCATAAATAACCAACTAACGAGAAATATCTCTTACGCGCCTTCGTGTTCTTCTCTTTTAATTCTTGTAAAATCRCGGAAAATGACGTCTAGTGCCGAGTAACCTAACTGTATTTCGACGGTATTATTAACATTATTGCGATCGTGATAAATATAGGTTCAATAACCGTCGTTAAGTCGTCGGTGCATGGTAGGTATAATAATATTATGATATCGTCCTTCGGATTTGGGACTGGATTATGTGAATAAAATTTAGGTCGTTCGACATGGGTGAAAGATCAGGTGAAGTAAAAAATAAATAAATTGTTTTATAGTCATTAATATAATATATATATATATATAATATTATGTATATGGATGGTGTGCGTTTGAAAACGAGGTGGAGGCCATCGTCTATCGTTGCAGTGTGTTATAAATTGAACATTGCCAACTTACAAAGGTAAAAGTATGTGTGGAGAAAGAAAAACGCGTACCAAGGTCGTATATAGTTCGTGGATAACACTACAATAATTTTCGAGATATACCGAGAGTAAACGTACTTTTAGTTTTTACACAAATCACAATAATCATTCAGTAGATTTTTAAGGAAAGGCCTAGACGTGTCACTCATACATATTATGTACGTATAGGGTCGACATATGTATAGGTTAATCGCAAAGTAATCACATCAAGTACAGAAGCTAAAATAAAAATGAAAATATATTATCGTCGTTAAGGAGAATTTTGAGGTACGAGTGGGTGCGACTGAGGAGAGTGTGTTGCACAATAAAATATATTATACTTTTGTAGAGTTTTGTGTTTTATAGAAATGTAAAATAATAATTATCGTCTCGGTCAAATGTAATGTACTAATGTGTATATGCTTAAAACTAGAGAGATGAAAATAATATTATGCACTGCGTGAAATTATATCCTTTATTCGAACTTTTTTAAAAGTGTGTATATCATGTATATCATATTATGCATTTTGATGTCGTTTTAGTTACAAATTCCGAACTGAATTATTTATAAATACAATTTTTGTGAYTTAAGTGTAACTTTATAGTCATAAGTATTAAGTACAGTATATAATAATGTATATATACCTATGTGACCTTCTAACTTCCTGAAACACTTAGCAGGTATGCCCGGCTTTATCAGTTTTTCTAAGCAAATTGTTTTCAATTATTTTATCTTCGTTTTTTAGTGAACTTAACACGAGTCAGRTAATTTGGTAGATCAGCATGATTTTGTTTCATAATATAATATGATACATACAATATCATTATGTGGTACTTGTTTGTTATCGCTCCGCCATAAATAAAATATATTATAATACAATGAAAAAATTTTAAAAATGTATTACAATTATAAATTAAAAAAAAAAAATAATATAAATTTACTAAGGAGGTCAGAACTCAGAAATATCTTTTAATATAGTTTCAAACGCATACTTACAGCATTATGCATTATTATATCGTTAAGAAAAAAACATAAATCATATTATTATGACACGAATTTCGGGATTATGAAACAGCTTCAAGTATAACGATGAAATTTCGGACGGAGATCGATCTCACGGTCTAGTCCGGYGGCGTACGATGACCTAATGAAAACGGATGAAATGAATCGTAATTAGGCTTATTAACATTAGACTTCGACGGTAGTATAGAAAGAGGTATAATTAAGTTAAATTATATTATATTAAACTTTTTTCACGTGAAAACTGCATCGGAACCCCACAGTCACAAAGTCTCGTAGTAAGAGCAAATACCGTGCGCCATGTGCATCATATACGTATCTGCATAATAATATATTATTAAGTATAATACATATTAGTTATAATGAAAACAAGCACGAGGTACAGTGAGATATTTTATACCGAACACTCTCGCGAGTATTCAAATGGTTCAGTTTGTAGAAAGTTTATAATTTGTTTTCAATCAAATTTCTGCTAGTTGGATGTGTCCGTCGTAATAGGAAAGGTTTCACTGTRTATGTAGGTATATTATATTATGATATTGTTTTTAAAATATAAGAATAGGTACGTCATACTGATAGACTATTATCAGATAATATTTATAATAATTGTACACAGCTTTATGCAAATAATATACGCCGAGCGTGCAGAGCTATATAATATTATCATCAGAGGGAAAGCTGCTTTCAGTTTTTGTGGTTGTTGTTATTGCCGTTACTGTTGCCATTATTTCTGAACACGCGGGTGGTGACTGAGTTTTCGACACAGTGGCGTCGAAGAAACCACAAGCACAGCTGTGGATATTATAATATCAAAATAATATCTTAGGAGGTAACACACGTTAGAACAGACCGTTGCGAAACCTCGTCAGGTGACACGCGTTTGACGACCAAACGGGATGATGTACACGATTCGATGCGCTTGTTAGGTGCGACAAGTTGATTTTGTTTCGCTCATCTTGGGTGATGGAAAAAATTGCGAAAATCTGATTGAAAAATTACGCACACAGGYTACGGTAATTATTGTCATTGGTGCGCATTAAATACGTATATTGATCTAAACGGGATGAGCGCACGTAATTCGATTCGTAAAACCTTATGTCATATACATATGGGTACGACCGATATAAAAACTGCAACGAAAACGAACGACTGTCGTTACAGTCGCAGTGGTCCTCGAACGATTCCAAAAAACTTAAACAGGTGTTATATTATTATTTTGACAGAAAAACGTTCGAATTGTTCGTCGCCGCATGCACATGGCGAATTTGTGGATCTAGGACATAGCAAATATAATCTTATACTTGGTATTTATTATACAAAAGTCTCTCCATTTTATTTTTCATGGGCGAATAGGCGGACAAAATCACCACCGAAGTAGGACAAAACCACCCTTACATATACTTTGGTATTACATCCTTCATAGTTTGAAACGTTTCTCCGGAAAATCTCGACATAATCATCACACCCTGTCGCAGAATTCGGTAGTGACGACGTCTACAGCACTGGCCACTGACGAACCGTAATACTATAGAATGTAAACTATATATGTACAGACATATATAGTTTACATTCTATTACGCCGTCTGACAGCTTATTTACTCGCCTATATTATATTTTTATCGCTATAATCTCATAGACAATATTATTGCGTCACACGACGAACAACTATGCGCGCGTGTCCGTTTTCGGCGTTCCGACGCGTCCGGTGCCGCTGCCGCCCACCGATATAAGGCCCGGAACAACCGGTTTGCGTATGCAGTTATGCAATCTCTCCAGAGTTCACCGTCGCTTTCGTTTCGACGTATTTTTTACCGCCCATAAATCGTACGCATAATAAAATTATAAGACCGCGTAGGTAGGTGCGGATGCGTATTTGCTTTTCCTACATTCGTCCGGTACGCGTGAATGTGCCGATGGAAAAAAATATGAGGTTCGTGCAGACGCCACTGATTGTGCTGCCCAACGACGATGAGCTATTAATGTTCGTATATAAAACCGTATCGCAATAACACGAAATCTGCAATAGCTGATAATTATATACAATCTTCGAGGCCTATGGGGCTAGGACCGTGATGGCGTGATCGGACCTGGCGGTAAGCGCGATGCTGAATTTTTAAAAATGAACTCGGCCAAAATTAAAATTCAACGCCCCTCCCCTCCCCCCAGCAACTTTATGAGACCACAAATCTAAATGTCTACTTTGTATAGAAAAAAAGTTTTCTAAACGTTGCACCTGTAATACGCGCAGTACGCAGTATAGAATTTTAAATTACAATGGAGAACTGAAGTCTCGAAATTTTCCAACAACAAATTAAATATTGGAGTAAAGCCCCCCTCCTCCCCATACACAGTTATGAACGTCATTAAATATATTTTGTGTCAAACATATTATTTTGGTTGGCAAAAACAAAATAAACAATGTACCAGCAGATTATTAATGCACAGTTACCTAAAAAGATCTGTGTTTGCTTCAACCCTCTATAGTCATGACGCCTATACGGCTATATACCTAAATATTTCCTACACCTATTATTATTTGTCATAATATTATTATGTATTGAGTATTTGTTTTGCGCAGAACATTTTGTTCATTCGCATTAGGTGCACCGACAGAACGTATTATTGGTACATACATAATATTATTATTGTTACATTATTTTTGTCGCGGGTCTGGTGAAAGTACGCTGTCGATGATGTAACGATGATATTTTTTCAACTATACAATATTAATGGAACCCGCTGTGTGACACGTAATCCGCAAAGACGGTCATTCGCAGGCGGTGGTTTTCCGTTTCGCGCTTTCCATTATACGGTTGACGATTTTCCGCCGTCGATTTTCGACGATTCCATATCTTTTACCGATCACGRCATCCCGGAAAYGATTGAATCGACCTCGCCACGACACGACGCGCTACAGTGTAAATAATGTTATAATATAAAACATATCAAGAATACTCATTAGCAAAGGTGCCAAAGGTGGACATTAACTAGTTACATTTTTTTCAACTTAAATTCCTAACTGCCTATAGTTAATTTTCTAATTAACTAAACAATTAAATAGTTTAATCGACTGTTAAATATAACTTAACTTTTCCAGTGTCGATTTAAAAGTGATCCTTCAAGTTAAAATTGAAAATATTTTTTGGTTTTTTCGAGGTTTTTAGTTTCAATGGCTTTATATGCACCAATTATTATTCTGCAGTATTAGCGTATACTTACACGATTTTAAAAATAATAATTTAATGCTTTATGATTTCTATTATGTTTCTTATTAGAATAATATYTTATATAGACTCAAAATAATCTTACGGTCTACGTGTTTTCAACTATTTTTTAATTCAAAAAAAGTAGATTAACTTAATTTTAAATTGAGTTAATATTTAACTACTTTTTAAGCTTACCTAACGAGTTGGATTTATTATCTTTTAATTAATAATTTCTAACTTAACAATCTTGCTTTAAACTAACTTAATTTAGTTATTCCTCCATTGTTGAGTGAACGTAAACATGGAATATATTGACATATTGTGTTACCTACTTTATTGCATTATATCGCGGACGAYGGCGTAGTCGACCGAAAGACATAATWATTTAAAACGGCCGTGAAGTATAATATAATGTTATAGTAACCCGTTGAATACACATTTTTGTATAAATGATATAATGTTATTGTTAAACGAAAAAAGACCGCAATTTATTGTAAAGTGACAATAAAATATTATAGGAAGGCGACGAAGGTCTCACCTCTCACATATCGAATTCTGTGACAGACCATGTGCAATGTCACGTTCGTTGACGAAACAAGTTGAGTACCTATTTATATGTATAGTATTAGACCATCGTATGGGCTCATGGTAAATATTAAACATATTATGATATAGATTGTTAAAATGTTTGTATAGAAGAAGTGTTTATTGACAGAGAACAATAATTTGTCTTACATGGTTCAAAGTAGGTACTTGCATGACACACTAAAATCAAAATATCTTCTAATTACTATATTTTTGTACGAAAATGATAACCGTCTAAATTTTTAAAAATCTGAATCCGACTGTTTTTATGAAATTATAGGTAGGCTATAGCTAGGTATTTATTCGCAAACACTTGAGTATACGATAAGAATTATTTTTATGCAAACGACAGACACTGGCGAACGTATCACACACACACACACAGCTCTCACACAATATCGTTGTTCCAGACGGGCATAATATTATGGCGTGTATCTGCACTAGATTATTATTCTGTATATTATAATATGTCTTCGTATTTCACCTATATATTTTGTCTACAATATATTGTCATTAATGAAAGTTGACTTTTTTTTCAAAAGAGATCGGTTACGACCGACTATTATAACAACTGTTATATATCATTACGACGCAAATCCGCGAAATAACACGTCGCCTATATAATATGTATATTATGCACACGACGACTTTGTCGAAGATATTATTATTATTATTATATTTACACGGTAATAGCTGCAGCCGTTGATCGCGTTTTTTACCGTCGTAAACGAATAAAACGATTACGCGGTCACCGCTGTAGTTGTGGACGGAACCAGTGTGTGTGTTGCGCAATCGCGATGGGTTAATACTTCCGGACCAGAGAGCGAATCGCGGAGTGTCTAGTGTCTACAGGTATGTTATATATTATGCATTGAGTTATGTATATAATAGCATGCGCACAGGTACCTACACACACGCGTATTGTTATACGAGTATTATATTTAATGAAATATTAGGTACACGAATAATACAAATTATTTAATATACGTATTTGGTATATTATATTATAGCGAAGTGGATCAGWGCCAACGCGTTCTCGATGGATATATATTAATAAAATGATTATGTCCCGTCGTGTTTAAAATTCGGTTTCGCTCAGTGTCATGTCATCAGGACCATTTCAATATTTTACCGAGCAAAACTATTTTACCGAGCAACGGCCGAGTATAAACCCAGCCAAAAAACTCGTTGGAGAGCACAATTTTAATGGACGTGCGACTATTAAATTTATAGTGTCGTATATTGTGATGAGTGGGTGACTTCATCTCGAAAAAATAGAAATCCGATGATTTGCGTGTATAGTTATTGTGGCCGGCACCACATTCTTTTCTCTATAATAATAATAGGCTTAGATTTTTATACTTGTTATGGAAGTGTATTTGATACTGCAGATATAGTAACACAAATCATCATTGTGTGTGAAAATCACCTATTTCAGGGTTTTCAGGTTAAAAAAAAAATCTTAGCAAACGAGTTGAAGCCAAAACTATATTAAATATAATCAGACGTTTTCTAGGGTCGATACCAACCACGGCGAACGTTGTATATATCTATATATATATATATAATGGTATCGGCGTCCAATTCGATTGTTAAGGCACTCATTCTTAAACAAGCCGGATATCTTTTTCTTCACATTTGTCTTCGTTTTCGCTGGCTTAGCAATGCTCTTATTTGAAGGACCTACAAACATGTGATTTCACCGTTTACKGAAGTCAAACGCCTATCTAAAGGCTTCTCCTTTTTACGAAATCTCTATAATTTTATATATTTTGAATGTTTACAAATCTTTTTAGCAGGTAAAAAGTGCCCCATGGTAAATGATGAATGCCCAAGTTTAAATTAGCCATAGCGGCGCCGTAAGTTACCTTTTGGAGTTGAGTGATTTGTGAAGTAATATTATCGTCCCTTGAACTTTGCGTCATTTCAGAATACTATTMGGCAGTTACGACGCCTGATGATAATGGGTTGTCCGGTAATAGCGTATTATATTCTATATAAATACTATGATATCGGTAGACCAGTTTGGGTAGATGTACGAGTATTATCCATTTAATACAAAATTATGTAATACAATATACTAGCTGCTGCTTACAAGTTGTTATTCTCATAATATAATACAACGTTTTATGTGTAACGGAGTCGGAAGAGTTTACACAATTTACTACCTATAATAATTCACATTTCCTCAAACGTCGGTAGAATATGACTATAGTTTGTAATAGTATAAGTTGTGCAGTTGGCAGTTGGCAGACCTATGTTTTTGGTCAGAACTTGAAATTTTAATACAAGTGTGCCACACACTATACTATTATAAGCCGTACACCACTCAGTAAACATGAAAAATTGTATGATTTCAATAGGTACAATTATTTGGATTTGCATTGATATCGGGGTTTTAAGTGGTTTAAACAATACAATTTAAAATATTTTTATAGTTTTATCAACAAATAAATTTTTTAATGCATCCTGTACATTTTCTTCTGATAACTATTAATTGTTCCTATATTATTTTGTTTTTTTTAATCACTGATGTTTTTAATAAAAATTTAATTGATTTTAGGTCTATAATAATAGACAACTATCAGGACGAGCCCCGCGGCCATTTCCGACAATTACAGTCTTCCGGTCGCAGGATAAACCCTAACATATCACTATGGGCGTGGGCTACGATAGTGACGAGAACACCGTAGAAGAGTGTCCACTGGCCGACGGCCTGCGACTAGTGGCCAAACAAGAATTGCGAGAGGATGACGTCATTAGAACGCACTCGTTGCGAGCAATGCGCAATTGGATCAGGAAACACCCAGACATCGTCAACTGCCGCACAGGTAACAATGGCAACTGCCACATAGCAGAGAGGAAATTAATATTTTTGGGAACCATTTCAAGAATAATTTATCAAGTTCTCGGAGGATATTAAAATTATATGTACATTTTCATAAAAAAAAAGTATAGGCAAAATCCTAGGAAATCATAAAATCTAATGAAAACGTCAATTACTTCACCACCAAAAATAGTGATTTAAAAAAATACATTTCTCCTTGGAGGGCCAGATACAATTCGTCCACGGACCGCCATTGGTAGAATCTTGCTTTAGAGCACACTGTTAGACATCGTTTTTTTTATCATTTCATCAAACACAACCAGAAGTTTTATGTATAGTAAAAATATATAGAAGATGATTGTAAAATTTTTAACAAGTCTATATCATATCTGATACAATAATGTTCAATGATTTTAATATTTTTTTTTTTTTTAATATTTTAAAAAGCCCGCACTTTATAACTGTAGATTGTTAAATGTAAAAATATGTTTTGGATAGCGGCAGTGTGAAAGAAACGTCATCGGAATAAGTTTTAAATTATGTATAGGTAACCTATTGTACCTATTGTAATATTGTACAAAAATATCTTTTAGGGATGTAGGATGAATTAACAAAACTTTATGTTTTGACCGAAAAATTAAGCAGCGAACAATTCGTAACAACATAAAATTTTACGAATCGGTTGATGGACGCAAGACAGCCATCTTTGATGATAATTTTTGACACTTATATGGATTGGCGACTTGGCGTTATTAATTTCTTTGTTTTGATTTATTTCTAGACGCACCATTCCTGTTGAGGTTTTTAAGAACGAAGAAATTCAGCATTCCCATGGCTCAAGACATGCTAGAACGGTACCTGGTCATCAGACAACTGTACCCGCAGTGGTTCTCCAAATTGGACGTCGACGATCCGGTCATATCTGACATATTGGACAGTGGGTAAGTGACTCAGAGTTCGATTCGTCAATCCTCCCCCCCCCCCATTAGGCCAATTAGGGTCATAAAATATTATAGGGACAATTTCGGAAGTAATATGCATTTTAAATTTTATGTCTGTGTATACAATACGGTTATATACGATTATAAAAAGTTATTGTTATCCCAAAACAGTAAAATAACAATTTTTTAAAACTCACTGGTTATTGAACTGTCGTAAGTACAATCAAATGTAAACAATTGAAGGAAAATCAATGCGAAACATCCCATTTAAAAAAAGATATGTGAAATAATAATTTTTTTTTTTCTAAACACTTGTGTATCCGATTGTTTGCAAAAACTCTAAATTATAATAATAATTAAAAAACCTGAACTTAAAAATATGATGTACAAAAAACTTCTCTACTTTAAATCATTTTAAGCCTTTGTCACTCCCCCCTCCCACCAAAAAAACAATATATATACATCATAACTAAATATCATGTATTATTATCAACAGATACCTAGTGCCGTTGCCAGGCCGAGATGAATTTGGCAGATGCGTAATGTTCTCGTGTGCTGGCCGTTTCGACCCGTACAAGTACACGTCGGCGGACATGGCTCGTGTGCATGCTCTGATCGGCGAGAGCCTCATGGACGACCCCGAAAACCAGATCAAAGGTACATCCGTGGGATGACCTTTCGTTATAAATTTAATATTGATACAAATGATTTACTCTCACAGGGTACAGTTATGTCAACGACGAATCCGGATTGCTGATGGGACACATGACGCTCTGGTCTTTTTCCGACTTAAAACGCATCATAAGGTGTTTGCAAGTACGCGATTTCATTTTTTCATATTGTTNAGTGTTTGCATATTATAAATATTACAAAACTCTGCATGTAACCTAAAATATTTTATTGACCAATGTTGGAAAAGCCCCTCCTAGGCGCTCCTATTTACACACAACTCCTGCAGGTGGCAGCATAGGTACATAAATATATATATATATATGTAGATTATACTGTGTGATAATCGGGTGTAACAACAAAAGCATTGTATACAATACATTAATACATAGTACGTGCTATAATAAGTGTATCTATAGATAATACACTTATATCGTTATTGTGGCACAGTGTCGTGTGGAGGGAACAACCGGGCGCCGCCGGGAGAAAGGGAGAGGATCCTCGGCCAACCTGGTCCGTCCGTTGTCTTCTAGTACTTCCAGACCAGCAGCCGTCCAGTTCGGAGTCACCACATCCACTACGAGCTCGCAGGTAAATACAAAACCAAAAATCATAAATAACCAACTAACGAGAAATATCTCTTACGCGCCTTCGTGTTCTTCTCTTTTAATTCTTGTAAAATCRCGGAAAATGACGTCTAGTGCCGAGTAACCTAACTGTATTTCGACGGTATTATTAACATTATTGCGATCGTGATAAATATAGGTTCAATAACCGTCGTTAAGTCGTCGGTGCATGGTAGGTATAATAATATTATGATATCGTCCTTCGGATTTGGGACTGGATTATGTGAATAAAATTTAGGTCGTTCGACATGGGTGAAAGATCAGGTGAAGTAAAAAATAAATAAATTGTTTTATAGTCATTAATATAATATATATATATATATAATATTATGTATATGGATGGTGTGCGTTTGAAAACGAGGTGGAGGCCATCGTCTATCGTTGCAGTGTGTTATAAATTGAACATTGCCAACTTACAAAGGTAAAAGTATGTGTGGAGAAAGAAAAACGCGTACCAAGGTCGTATATAGTTCGTGGATAACACTACAATAATTTTCGAGATATACCGAGAGTAAACGTACTTTTAGTTTTTACACAAATCACAATAATCATTCAGTAGATTTTTAAGGAAAGGCCTAGACGTGTCACTCATACATATTATGTACGTATAGGGTCGACATATGTATAGGTTAATCGCAAAGTAATCACATCAAGTACAGAAGCTAAAATAAAAATGAAAATATATTATCGTCGTTAAGGAGAATTTTGAGGTACGAGTGGGTGCGACTGAGGAGAGTGTGTTGCACAATAAAATATATTATACTTTTGTAGAGTTTTGTGTTTTATAGAAATGTAAAATAATAATTATCGTCTCGGTCAAATGTAATGTACTAATGTGTATATGCTTAAAACTAGAGAGATGAAAATAATATTATGCACTGCGTGAAATTATATCCTTTATTCGAACTTTTTTAAAAGTGTGTATATCATGTATATCATATTATGCATTTTGATGTCGTTTTAGTTACAAATTCCGAACTGAATTATTTATAAATACAATTTTTGTGAYTTAAGTGTAACTTTATAGTCATAAGTATTAAGTACAGTATATAATAATGTATATATACCTATGTGACCTTCTAACTTCCTGAAACACTTAGCAGGTATGCCCGGCTTTATCAGTTTTTCTAAGCAAATTGTTTTCAATTATTTTATCTTCGTTTTTTAGTGAACTTAACACGAGTCAGRTAATTTGGTAGATCAGCATGATTTTGTTTCATAATATAATATGATACATACAATATCATTATGTGGTACTTGTTTGTTATCGCTCCGCCATAAATAAAATATATTATAATACAATGAAAAAATTTTAAAAATGTATTACAATTATAAATTAAAAAAAAAAAATAATATAAATTTACTAAGGAGGTCAGAACTCAGAAATATCTTTTAATATAGTTTCAAACGCATACTTACAGCATTATGCATTATTATATCGTTAAGAAAAAAACATAAATCATATTATTATGACACGAATTTCGGGATTATGAAACAGCTTCAAGTATAACGATGAAATTTCGGACGGAGATCGATCTCACGGTCTAGTCCGGYGGCGTACGATGACCTAATGAAAACGGATGAAATGAATCGTAATTAGGCTTATTAACATTAGACTTCGACGGTAGTATAGAAAGAGGTATAATTAAGTTAAATTATATTATATTAAACTTTTTTCACGTGAAAACTGCATCGGAACCCCACAGTCACAAAGTCTCGTAGTAAGAGCAAATACCGTGCGCCATGTGCATCATATACGTATCTGCATAATAATATATTATTAAGTATAATACATATTAGTTATAATGAAAACAAGCACGAGGTACAGTGAGATATTTTATACCGAACACTCTCGCGAGTATTCAAATGGTTCAGTTTGTAGAAAGTTTATAATTTGTTTTCAATCAAATTTCTGCTAGTTGGATGTGTCCGTCGTAATAGGAAAGGTTTCACTGTRTATGTAGGTATATTATATTATGATATTGTTTTTAAAATATAAGAATAGGTACGTCATACTGATAGACTATTATCAGATAATATTTATAATAATTGTACACAGCTTTATGCAAATAATATACGCCGAGCGTGCAGAGCTATATAATATTATCATCAGAGGGAAAGCTGCTTTCAGTTTTTGTGGTTGTTGTTATTGCCGTTACTGTTGCCATTATTTCTGAACACGCGGGTGGTGACTGAGTTTTCGACACAGTGGCGTCGAAGAAACCACAAGCACAGCTGTGGATATTATAATATCAAAATAATATCTTAGGAGGTAACACACGTTAGAACAGACCGTTGCGAAACCTCGTCAGGTGACACGCGTTTGACGACCAAACGGGATGATGTACACGATTCGATGCGCTTGTTAGGTGCGACAAGTTGATTTTGTTTCGCTCATCTTGGGTGATGGAAAAAATTGCGAAAATCTGATTGAAAAATTACGCACACAGGYTACGGTAATTATTGTCATTGGTGCGCATTAAATACGTATATTGATCTAAACGGGATGAGCGCACGTAATTCGATTCGTAAAACCTTATGTCATATACATATGGGTACGACCGATATAAAAACTGCAACGAAAACGAACGACTGTCGTTACAGTCGCAGTGGTCCTCGAACGATTCCAAAAAACTTAAACAGGTGTTATATTATTATTTTGACAGAAAAACGTTCGAATTGTTCGTCGCCGCATGCACATGGCGAATTTGTGGATCTAGGACATAGCAAATATAATCTTATACTTGGTATTTATTATACAAAAGTCTCTCCATTTTATTTTTCATGGGCGAATAGGCGGACAAAATCACCACCGAAGTAGGACAAAACCACCCTTACATATACTTTGGTATTACATCCTTCATAGTTTGAAACGTTTCTCCGGAAAATCTCGACATAATCATCACACCCTGTCGCAGAATTCGGTAGTGACGACGTCTACAGCACTGGCCACTGACGAACCGTAATACTATAGAATGTAAACTATATATGTACAGACATATATAGTTTACATTCTATTACGCCGTCTGACAGCTTATTTACTCGCCTATATTATATTTTTATCGCTATAATCTCATAGACAATATTATTGCGTCACACGACGAACAACTATGCGCGCGTGTCCGTTTTCGGCGTTCCGACGCGTCCGGTGCCGCTGCCGCCCACCGATATAAGGCCCGGAACAACCGGTTTGCGTATGCAGTTATGCAATCTCTCCAGAGTTCACCGTCGCTTTCGTTTCGACGTATTTTTTACCGCCCATAAATCGTACGCATAATAAAATTATAAAACCGCGTAGGTAGGTGCGGATGCGTATTTGCTTTTCCTACATTCGTCCGGTACGCGTGAATGTGCCGATGGAAAAAAAATATGAGGTTCGTGCAGACGCCACTGATTGTGCTGCCCAACGACGATGAGCTATTAATGTTCGTATATAAAACCGTATCGCAATAACACGAAATCTGCAATAGCTGATAATTATATACAATCTTCGAGGCCTATGGGGCTAGGACCGTGATGGCGTGATCGGACCTGGCGGTAAGCGCGATGCTGAATTTTTAAAAATGAACTCGGCCAAAATTAAAATTCAACGCCCCTCCCCTCCCCCCAGCAACTTTATGAGACCACAAATCTAAATGTCTACTTTGTATAGAAAAAAAGTTTTCTAAACGTTGCACCTGTAATACGCGCAGTACGCAGTATAGAATTTTAAATTACAATGGAGAACTGAAGTCYCGAAATTTTYCAACARCAAATTAAATATTGGAGTMAAGCCCCCCTCCTCCCCATACACAGTTATGAACGTCATTAAATATATTTTGTGTCAAACATATTACTTTGGTTGGCAAAAACAAAATAAACAATGTACCAGCAGATTATTAATGCACAGTTACCTAAAAAGATCTGTGTTTGCTTCAACCCTCTATAGTCATGACGCCTATACGGCTATATACCTAAATATTTCCTACACCTATTATTATTTGTCATAATATTATTATGTATTGAGTATTTGTTTTGCGCAGAACATTTTGTTCATTCGCATTAGGTGCACCGACAGAACGTATTATTGGTACATACATAATATTATTATTGTTACATTATTTTTGTCGCGGGTCTGGTGAAAGTACGCTGTCGATGATGTAACGATGATATTTTTTCAACTATACAATATTAATGGAACCCGCTGTGTGACACGTAATCCGCAAAGACGGTCATTCGCAGGCGGTGGTTTTCCGTTTCGCGCTTTCCATTATACGGTTGACGATTTTCCGCCGTCGATTTTCGACGATTCCATATCTTTTACCGATCACGRCATCCCGGAAAYGATTGAATCGACCTCGCCACGACACGACGCGCTACAGTGTAAATAATGTTATAATATAAAACATATCAAGAATACTCATTAGCAAAGGTGCCAAAGGTGGACATTAACTAGTTACATTTTTTTCAACTTAAATTCCTAACTGCCTATAGTTAATTTTCTAATTAACTAAACAATTAAATAGTTTAATCGACTGTTAAATATAACTTAACTTTTCCAGTGTCGATTTAAAAGTGATCCTTCAAGTTAAAATTGAAAATATTTTTTGGTTTTTTCGAGGTTTTTAGTTTCAATGGCTTTATATGCACCAATTATTATTCTGCAGTATTAGCGTATACTTACACGATTTTAAAAATAATAATTTAATGCTTTATGATTTCTATTATGTTTCTTATTAGAATAATATYTTATATAGACTCAAAATAATCTTACGGTCTACGTGTTTTCAACTATTTTTTAATTCAAAAAAAGTAGATTAACTTAATTTTAAATTGAGTTAATATTTAACTACTTTTTAAGCTTACCTAACGAGTTGGATTTATTATCTTTTAATTAATAATTTCTAACTTAACAATCTTGCTTTAAACTAACTTAATTTAGTTATTCCTCCATTGTTGAGTGAACGTAAACATGGAATATATTGACATATTGTGTTACCTACTTTATTGCATTATATCGCGGACGAYGGCGTAGTCGACCGAAAGACATAATWATTTAAAACGGCCGTGAAGTATAATATAATGTTATAGTAACCCGTTGAATACACATTTTTGTATAAATGATATAATGTTATTGTTAAACGAAAAAAGACCGCAATTTATTGTAAAGTGACAATAAAATATTATAGGAAGGCGACGAAGGTCTCACCTCTCACATATCGAATTCTGTGACAGACCATGTGCAATGTCACGTTCGTTGACGAAACAAGTTGAGTACCTATTTATATGTATAGTATTAGACCATCGTATGGGCTCATGGTAAATATTAAACATATTATGATATAGATTGTTAAAATGTTTGTATAGAAGAAGTGTTTATTGACAGAGAACAATAATTTGTCTTACATGGTTCAAAGTAGGTACTTGCATGACACACTAAAATCAAAATATCTTCTAATTACTATATTTTTGTACGAAAATGATAACCGTCTAAATTTTTAAAAATCTGAATCCGACTGTTTTTATGAAATTATAGGTAGGCTATAGCTAGGTATTTATTCGCAAACACTTGAGTATACGATAAGAATTATTTTTATGCAAACGACAGACACTGGCGAACGTATCACACACACACACACAGCTCTCACACAATATCGTTGTTCCAGACGGGCATAATATTATGGCGTGTATCTGCACTAGATTATTATTCTGTATATTATAATATGTCTTCGTATTTCACCTATATATTTTGTCTACAATATATTGTCATTAATGAAAGTTGACTTTTTTTTCAAAAGAGATCGGTTACGACCGACTATTATAACAACTGTTATATATCATTACGACGCAAATCCGCGAAATAACACGTCGCCTATATAATATGTATATTATGCACACGACGACTTTGTCGAAGATATTATTATTATTATTATATTTACACGGTAATAGCTGCAGCCGTTGATCGCGTTTTTTACCGTCGTAAACGAATAAAACGATTACGCGGTCACCGCTGTAGTTGTGGACGGAACCAGTGTGTGTGTTGCGCAATCGCGATGGGTTAATACTTCCGGACCAGAGAGCGAATCGCGGAGTGTCTAGTGTCTACAAGTATGTTATATATTATGCATTGAATTATGTATATAATAGCATGCGCACAGGTACCTACACACACGCRTATTGTTATACGAGTATTATATTTAATGAAATATTAGGTACACGAATAATACAAATTATTTAATATACGTATTTGGTATATTATATTATAGCGAAGTGGATCAGAGCCAACGCGTTCTCGATGGATATATATTAATAAAATGATTATGTCCCGTCGTGTTTAAAATTCGGTTTCGCTCAGTGTCATGTCATCAGGACCATTTCAATATTTTACCGAGCAAAACTATTTTACCGAGCAACGGCCGAGTATAAACCCAGCCAAAAAACTCGTTGGAGAGCACAATTTTAATGGACGTGCGACTATTAAATTTATAGTGTCGTATATTGTGACGAGTGGGTGACTTCATCTCGAAAAAATAGAAATCCGATGATTTGCGTGTATAGTTATTGTGGCCGGCACCACATTCTTTTCTCTATAATAATAATAGGCTTAGATTTTTATACTTGTAATGGAAGTGTATTTGATACTGCAGATATAGTAACACAAATCATCACTGTGTGTGAAAATCACCTATTTCAGGGTTTTCAGGTTAAAAAAAAAATCTTAAAAAACGAGTTGAAGCCAAAACTATATTAAATATAATCAGACGTTTTCTAGGGTCGATACCAACCACGGCGAACGTTGTATATATCTATATATATATATATAATGGTATCGGCGTCCAATTCGATTGTTAAGGCACTCATTCTTAAACAAGCCGGATATCTTTTTCTTCACATTTGTCTTCGTTTTCGCTGGCTTAGCAATGCTCTTATTTGAAGGACCTACAAACATGTGATTTCACCGTTTACKGAAGTCAAACGCCTATCTAAAGGCTTCTCCTTTTTACGAAATCTCTATAATTTTATATATTTTGAATGTTTACAAATCTTTTTAGCAGGTAAAAAGTGCCCCATGGTAAATGATGAATGCCCAAGTTTAAATTAGCCATAGCGGCGCCGTAAGTTACCTTTTGGAGTTGAGTGATTTGTGAAGTAATATTATCGTCCCTTGAACTTTGCGTCATTTCAGAATACTATTMGGCAGTTACGACGCCTGATGATAATGGGTTGTCCGGTAATAGCGTATTATATTCTATATAAATACTATGATATCGGTAGACCAGTTTGGGTAGATGTACGAGTATTATCCATTTAATACAAAATTATGTAATACAATATACTAGCTGCTGCTTACAAGTTGTTATTCTCATAATATAATACAACGTTTTATGTGTAACGGAGTCGGAAGAGTTTACACAATTTACTACCTATAATAATTCACATTTCCTCAAACGTCGGTAGAATATGACTATAGTTTGTAATAGTATAAGTTGTGCAGTTGGCAGTTGGCAGACCTATGTTTTTGGTCAGAACTTGAAATTTTAATACAAGTGTGCCACACACTATACTATTATAAGCCGTACACCACTCAGTAAACATGAAAAATTGTATGATTTCAATAGGTACAATTATTTGGATTTGCATTGATATCGGGGTTTTAAGTGGTTTAAACAATACAATTTAAAATATTTTTATAGTTTTATCAACAAATAAATTTTTTAATGCATCCTGTACATTTTCTTCTGATAACTATTAATTGTTCCTATATTATTTTGTTTTTTTTAATCACTGATGTTTTTAATAAAAATTTAATTGATTTTAGGTCTATAATAATAGACAACTATCAGGACGAGCCCCGCGGCCATTTCCGACAATTACAGTCTTCCGGTCGCAGGATAAACCCTAACATATCACTATGGGCGTGGGCTACGATAGTGACGAGAACACCGTAGAAGAGTGTCCACTGGCCGACGGCCTGCGACTAGTGGCCAAACAAGAATTGCGAGAGGATGACGTCATTAGAACGCACTCGTTGCGAGCAATGCGCAATTGGATCAGGAAACACCCAGACATCGTCAACTGCCGCACAGGTAACAATGGCAACTGCCACATAGCAGAGAGGAAATTAATATTTTTGGGAACCATTTCAAGAATAATTTATCAAGTTCTCGGAGGATATTAAAATTATATGTACATTTTCATAAAAAAAAAGTATAGGCAAAATCCTAGGAAATCATAAAATCTAATGAAAACGTCAATTACTTCACCACCAAAAATAGTGATTTAAAAAAATACATTTCTCCTTGGAGGGCCAGATACAATTCGTCCACGGACCGCCATTGGTAGAATCTTGCTTTAGAGCACACTGTTAGACATCGTTTTTTTTATCATTTCATCAAACACAACCAGAAGTTTTATGTATAGTAAAAATATATAGAAGATGATTGTAAAATTTTTAACAAGTCTATATCATATCTGATACAATAATGTTCAATGATTTTAATATTTTTTTTTTTTTTAATATTTTAAAAAGCCCGCACTTTATAACTGTAGATTGTTAAATGTAAAAATATGTTTTGGATAGCGGCAGTGTGAAAGAAACGTCATCGGAATAAGTTTTAAATTATGTATAGGTAACCTATTGTACCTATTGTAATATTGTACAAAAATATCTTTTAGGGATGTAGGATGAATTAACAAAACTTTATGTTTTGACCGAAAAATTAAGCAGCGAACAATTCGTAACAACATAAAATTTTACGAATCGGTTGATGGACGCAAGACAGCCATCTTTGATGATAATTTTTGACACTTATATGGATTGGCGACTTGGCGTTATTAATTTCTTTGTTTTGATTTATTTCTAGACGCACCATTCCTGTTGAGGTTTTTAAGAACGAAGAAATTCAGCATTCCCATGGCTCAAGACATGCTAGAACGGTACCTGGTCATCAGACAACTGTACCCGCAGTGGTTCTCCAAATTGGACGTCGACGATCCGGTCATATCTGACATATTGGACAGTGGGTAAGTGACTCAGAGTTCGATTCGTCAATCCTCCCCCCCCCCCATTAGGCCAATTAGGGTCATAAAATATTATAGGGACAATTTCGGAAGTAATATGCATTTTAAATTTTATGTCTGTGTATACAATACGGTTATATACGATTATAAAAAGTTATTGTTATCCCAAAACAGTAAAATAACAATTTTTTAAAACTCACTGGTTATTGAACTGTCGTAAGTACAATCAAATGTAAACAATTGAAGGAAAATCAATGCGAAACATCCCATTTAAAAAAAGATATGTGAAATAATAATTTTTTTTTTTCTAAACACTTGTGTATCCGATTGTTTGCAAAAACTCTAAATTATAATAATAATTAAAAAACCTGAACTTAAAAATATGATGTACAAAAAACTTCTCTACTTTAAATCATTTTAAGCCTTTGTCACTCCCCCCTCCCACCAAAAAAACAATATATATACATCATAACTAAATATCATGTATTATTATCAACAGATACCTAGTGCCGTTGCCAGGCCGAGATGAATTTGGCAGATGCGTAATGTTCTCGTGTGCTGGCCGTTTCGACCCGTACAAGTACACGTCGGCGGACATGGCTCGTGTGCATGCTCTGATCGGCGAGAGCCTCATGGACGACCCCGAAAACCAGATCAAAGGTACATCCGTGGGATGACCTTTCGTTATAAATTTAATATTGATACAAATGATTTACTCTCACAGGGTACAGTTATGTCAACGACGAATCCGGATTGCTGATGGGACACATGACGCTCTGGTCTTTTTCCGACTTAAAACGCATCATAAGGTGTTTGCAAGTACGCGATTTCATTTTTTCATATTGTTCAATAAAAGCAGCGAATGAGACTAACCGAACTCATCTAACTCAGTTTTTTTTTTTTGTACAGAGTTCGACACCGATGAGACACAAGTCCACGTACTTCATAAACGTTCCGAACTTTGCGGACAAGTTTTTCACGGCCACGGTTTCGTTTTTAAACTCCAAACTCAAGAGCCGAGTCAAGGTAGGTATCTAYTTATATTAATTACAATCATACYTACACCTATATTCGCCAGTAGTTGCAGTCTGCAAAATCGTCATGATTTAATTACCAATCAGGGCAGGTAGACACGGGGTGAGTGGTTGGATAGCTCAACCACATTTTGTACAACATGGAATGTATGTAAACTAAGAAACCGAGAAAAACGGAACTACCTTATATTATACTTTATAATGAATTATATAGAATACCAGAACATAAATATATATAATTATAAAAACAAATAATAACAAATAATATTAATCGTGTATGTGTTGCGTTATTTACAGTTCTTCAGCGGCCAGAAAGACATACAGAAATTCATTGATCCCAAATACCTACCGAAGGAGTATGGCGGTGAAATACCTTTGGCCACAATGATAGGTGTGTAACATTCACCATAAACAAATCTACATATAGGCGATAAGTCTTAGATTTTTATTATCTCGATTGAATAAGTTTAACACGATATTATAAAGTATAACGTGTCTGTAAATCCATTCTCATCATAGTTCAATTAAAATTACAATATTGATAGTAGACTATGATATTATTATATTACTACAGAAACTTTCATGCAGTCACTGATGTTTTTTTGTAATTTTTGTTTACCACAGTCKAGCTGAAAAAGAAACTTCGCGCCAAACGTGAAATGTTAATGGCTCTAGACGACATGAAAATCAACGTTAATGGAAAAGGGAAAATAATTAGCGAATTTGACGATATGCAAAAAGAACTAACCGGATCATTTAGAAAATTGGAGGTCGATTGATGCTTTTTTATTAATTTTATATTGTTACCATAATATTATTGTATATCCATTACCACCATTCGTGAAAATTTTATTTGTTTTATAATGTTTAGTATTATTTTTTTTTTTAATAAAGAACCATTATAGGTATCAACAAATTTCATAAAATTTTATTGTCTTAATTTTGCTGTTAAATTACACATGTTGTCACTAGTAGTATTTAAAAAAATGTACATAAACAAAAATATATAGTAATTTAAATATTATACACTTAACAAAAATATTATGCTTTAAAAGTATGATATATAATCGATATCACAAGTTCAAACGATTAACGCGTTTTGGTCATGGTGTAAACAAAAATAATGCTTATCTTTCTTTTATTAATATTATACACTTACACCATGGTATTGGTCAGTCGCTACTAGTAAAACAAAAACTAGAAGTAAAACAAAGACGATGTTAAACACTGGCAAACATGAAAATATTATACAAAAAAAAAATATATATATAATAATAATAATAATAATAAAAATCATAATAATAATATAAACTTATCAAAACAATACTTGTAACTCTCGTATCATTTTAGGGAATTCAAAATTGAATAAATTAATACACGCACCAGATAGGTTCTTCCGTCAGGAGGGAAGAAATTATACTGTGTTCGTCAAATAATATTGTATTTTTAGTCGTCGGTCTCTTCAACTAACATCTGGGTATCTTTCCCCGTGTCCGTTGTGGCCGGTTCTAATTCTCTATGTCTCCTCTGTATTTGTGGTGACGCTTTCTGTATAATACTGGACGGTGCTAGTATGGCTGAAGCAGGCTCTTGTACTAAACCCTTGGTTTTTGTAACGTCCAGAGGCACCTCGTATATACCACTACCGGCATCAGATTCCATGTTGCCGAGGGCATCGTACA